CCGATGTTTGTTCAACCAAACTCTGTGTCTGAGCGAGATTTATAGGTTTGTCATGTCCCGCCCTTTCGGGTTCAGACAGACTTGTGATTGCATGTCAAAATCTCTTGATAGTCCGAGTGACACCATGTTCAGCCACTCAGGAGCAGATTTTATCTCCAGGGTTACTCCGAAAGCCCCAGACGGCCTCGCTCATTCTTCTACTGATAAGGGTTGATTTACGAGCTTTGTTTTGGAACGTAGGACACTTACTCTTCAGCTTGTAGTTGGATTTCGTCTGTATAGAGCTTTAAAACACGATTTCTGTGTGTCTGAACTATTATTAATGTGCGAGCATAAATATTCAACCTGTGTTAAGTATAAAGTATATGAATGTTGTGTTTTAGCGTTATTTATGTTTAATCAATGTGTATGCCGTGTGTCACATTGCTGGGTCCTTAACTCTCAGCTGCTCTTCTCAGATGAACAAAGAAGGATCGTTTCTTGCTGCACTAATAAATATCTTACCTGTCTCTGTTTCCCTCAGAGTTATATCAAATGTGAACTTGTATGATTATCCTTAGCACTTGTAAGATTATATATAACATGAAGTAATTAGTGTATGATTATACACGCACACACCTTGTGGAAAATGCATCATTTCACATCATCAAAGAAATGTCAAGGCTTGTCAAAAGATATAAAAAGATATAAAAGATATCAAATCCAACACACCCTCTTTTGGTCTCCCCATATTTATGGGAGACCACACCACGTGTGATTTGATTTTACAAATATTTTGATTCTGCCCACTCCAGGTGGCTCTGATCATCTGCGGAGGTGTCACCTGAGTGCTGCATCAGCGTCATAGCGGTTTCAGTCTCAACCTGAATCATTCTAGGAACGATCATTCTAGCACAAGGTATAATAACAATCATCAAATCATAAAAAATAATAAGAATTGCAGTCAGGGGGGCCAAAATCTTTAGCACAATCTGACTCCAGAGCCGCTCGTGAACCAAGACCGAAACTTCCAGGATCCTGGAGAAGGATCCTCACTCTTAGCCTTCTGCAGCGCATTAACTTGGTTCAAGGCATTGGTCACCCTGGCCTGGGGGTCGTGTCAGGTCTCATCCGGAACATAGGTGCAACAGGTGTCTAAAACGTGATGATTATACAGCTTGACACTTGTCAGGAGGCAGTGAGCCCACTGCCTTCTGAGAAGCGTCCTGCAGGTGGCGGTAGACACAAATAGGAATTGTTCCTCTGGGGTTCATTCTACTAAATGACTCAGCACCACTACCTGAGATGATTGCATCAGGGAGTACCTGCGAGTTTTACAACAATGTGGATCTTTAACATAACGGTACCAGCTGTTCATTTGAAAACTATGAGACAGATTCAACGACAGATGATCCACCTCATTCACTTGAGACCAGGCCATGAGTTTAGGGTTGCTGCGTTTGACCCTTAGTTGTTGATGCTGGCAGCGGGAGTAACCTGGAATTACACAGTAATATTCACACAGAAAAATTATGGAAGTGAGTAACACTGTCACCACCCCCAATATTATTGTAATCCTCCAGGGGTTCTGGAATAGACCCATGGTGTTACACTAAAAATACCAAATGAGTAAACCTTAGAAGTTAATTAAAATACTACCAAACTATTGGAAGATTAAATTCAAAATGAGTAAACGATTAAACCACTAGTTATAAAACAACTTATAAAACACTCAAAAATAGCCAAAATTGACCCCTGAAAATAGAGAAATACCAAAAGATTGACCTCTCTTTAAAATACCTCGAAGAATTTTAGAATGATTATGTTGTTCAATTGAATAAAGTAAAATTTTGAATATTTAGAATTCTCAATTGAATTCACCGACCCTTTTTAAAAGCTCTGGTTGTTTCCTCAGAGTGACTGAAAGAAAAGATAAACATTCATATTAAACACTCTAGCTAACAGGTCTTCTGTGCTTGAGCTTGCAGTGGGAGGCATTGTTCGTCTACAAGGGTCCTTTTGGTGCTCAGCGGGATTCGGCCCGCGGAGATGTCTTCATGTAAAGTCCTCAGAAACTTTATCAGTCTGAGCAGACGTTCTAAATGACGTGTGTGCAGATGGGTCAAACCTATATCAGTGTGTCGCGTCTTCGTTTCTTCAAGGTCAGGGCTGGGAATCTTCTTTCCTTCCCCGTTCCACCTGTCTGACCGACTTAGGCAGAGCGGAGACTCCTTCTCCAAATTTTGCTGCTGCCTTTTTCAACAAGGGGCAAAGAATGAACTCCCACGAAGTTCAGATTAGAGGATGACATTTTTTCGGGAGTACTGCCGGTCACGTGAATCCGGCCAGATTCTGGCGGGACCGGAGTCAACTTTATTATAACTCCCGTTATCGGGACCGGACAGGACGAAAACTTAACGGGAGCAGACGGGAGCAGGAGCCAACATAGGACAAAAAAAGAAATAGGCAAAAAAATAATAATAATAAATTTCTGACAGGTGGCTGCGCCAACAGCTTCCGGCGCCTTTTCCAGCCGCTACTTCCGGCCGCCTTTTCCAACCTCTTTGTTTACTGTATCAACCAACATCATGGAAGGAGCATACGCCAGCGGAGAAATCGAGAGGGTAAAAAATATTTTGTAACGCAAAGTTAGGAATAATGACGCATCTGTTAGGTTAACAGAACTGTCAGGGAAGGCGCTAATAGTTCAGAACTTTACGAGAGTCGAGTGTGACGGTGTGAAGATGCTCTACGCTGCTTGCAAAACATGCTCAGTTATAATAAAGTACGTCATTGACTCTGGGACGAGTGGTCTGAAGAGGCACACTTGCAAGGCTAATTTCGGAACGAATCAGCCAAGCATTTCTTCATTCATTAAACGAAAAGTACCGTCGAGAGTCAAGTCTCGTATGACCAACAAAATAGCCCGCATGTGCGGCGTAGATTTGAGACCATTTGCTGTAGTAGATGGGAAAGGTTTCATCGACGTCATACAGGAGGCAATCGACATTGGAGCAAAGTATGGAAACAACGCTGAGGCACAAGACATACTGCCATGTGGACGCACGGTCTCCTGTCATGTTCAAGGAGAATATGATAAAATTTAAAAAAATGGTCATGGAAGAGCTCCATCAGGTATGTCTGTCACGCTGCACTATTTTATAATACAGTACAAACATTTTACTTTGACATCATGCAGTAGTCTATAATTATAGATTTCCTAACACAATCTGTTTTTTCTCCTCCTTTTAAACTGCTTAATCTCTCAACTATAAATTAGTCATCTGTTTTACATGTAATATACTTTGAGAGCTAATAACAATATACATAATTCCTTTGGTGCAGACTAGAGACCATGCAATCACGACAGACCTTTGGACAGAGGAGAGGACAAACACACACTACATCACCGTTACAGTCCATTACATCTTGGATGGGAAGATGGTGAACCGTATTCTGGCCACAAGGGAGATGGAGGGTGTCAAATCCAATGAACACATCAGAGGGACTGTGGAGAAAATCCTTCAGGTATCTCACACTCAAATGAGATAATTATCTTTATTTACATGGCATATTAGCTTTGTAGAGGTCTAGTATAGAGCTGTATGAATGGGTAAATGAGGCACAGATTGTAGTGTAAAGCGCTTTGAGTGTCTTGAAATAAGACAAAGGCGCTATATAAGTACAGTCCATATGCAATAAATATTGCCAATTAATTCGTAAAATTGGGAAAAGTATGAGAACATGGTGCAGCAATAACAAGAACATGTCACAGAAGGAACATTAGAAAAGACAAATATATATATTTTTCATTCAACCTTTACAGGCTAACCTCATTGAGTCACGAGGACTCGTTTTCAAGAGACCTGTTCCAATCCAGACAGACAGAACATATAAAGTACAGACAACAATAACAGTGAACAATAATAACGATAAACTACCGTAAAAATGCTGTAAAAATACAGTTAAGATAAAAGTAGTGTCTAAAACAATAAATCAGGGTGCCATAAAAAATGTAAAATACTAAAAACAAGAATATATTTGCTTTGAGATTTTTATTGACATTAAGAAATGTTTAAAACCCCTCACAATAAATTAAGGTGGACAACTTCAGTTCCTGCTGAAAGGTGTTCCAGGTTGCAGGAGCAGACTAACCTGGAATATAAATAAGTGCATCAGTAAGCGTGTGTCACGGTCCTTCGCTGTACATCAGTCTGTGCCGTGGTAGGCAGCAACTTAGGCAGATTACCATAGTATTTTACCTTAATTGCAGATGGAGTTTTCCTTCATTTGATACACAACACATGTGTAATATGTGTAATATGTTTTGTCCTAATGTAGTCCTATAAATTTATTGAAAAGTGCTTTGTACAATTACATGACTGTTGATCAATCTGTTTAATGATTATCATATGTCTGGTCTTCTTATTTGCTAAGTTTTTGGTTTGTCTTTGTTTTGTTTTTTTACCTAACAGGAATTTGGCATCCTGAGCAAGCACACTGTGTTTGTGACAGATAATGGCTCAAACATGATCGCTGCTTTCAAGGATTATGTGCGGCTCTCCTGTGCCGGCCATAATATCAACTTGATGTTAAAACACGTATTTGACCACTTGGATGAGGACAACCCAGTACACAGCAGCGTCATCAAGCTGTTTAAGGACGCAAAGACCCTAGTCACACATTTCAAAAGGGCAGGGTAAGATACATAAAATCTTGTCATCTCTGCCGGGTGAGGCTGCTTAAATAATCATAAAATATGATAAGTGAAATAAATAAAGAAAAATTGAGGTACTGTAATTTATAATTGCAAAGGTCACATTTTCTTTACTTAGTTTCAGTTGTACAGCTCTTCTTTTTAATAAAATGTTTTTTCCAAAAGAAAGGCCAATAAATTGCAATTTTTATAGTCCCTGTAACCCTATTTTGACTTGTGCACGGTCTTCTTTCAATTTTAGGTTACAAAAAGCACTGGACCAGTCACTGAAGCTGTGGAGACGAGGTGGAACACCAGACTTGCAATGCTCCAGTCAATAAATGATGCTCTCAAGTCTGGTAAGCTGCACGACATCCTGCTTCGCAGAAGCGAGCTCCGTTACCTCAACAACATAGACTGTGACCTTCTTGAGGACGTCATCCAGCTCCTGAAACCTTTTGATGAGGCTACCAGGCACCTCTCCATCCATCAGGCACCTACTCTTCACCTCGTCCTCCCAACCAAGGCAACCCTGCTGCAGGGTTTGTTGATCCAGCATGGAGATAGTGCAATTGTGAAAGAGGTAATTTAATACTGTGTTTATTTTTATTGTTTGGTTTGATCATTCAAGTAGCTAACAGGAGTTTGGCCCTATTCAGTAACTGTGATAAAGGCAAGAACAGAACTGAGTCTGATGTTGTCCAAAAGAAACATTGTACAAGTTAAATTTGAAATAAATTTAAAACTTCACCATTGCCTATAATAAAGCACAGTGCCTGTCCGCCTGAGAATTTTTTATGTCCCATAAAATGATGTTGCATATATCATCATATCATTGCATCTGTCATCATGTGATTTCACTCCTCCTCTAGCTGAAAGAGAAGTTGGCCCAGGCAGTGGAGTTGAAATTCAAAATCCACCTGTACCATAAGCTAGCCACAGCTCTCTCTCCTTGTCAGGATCAGCTGGACAGGAACGAACCCAGTTGTGCAGACAGGACTCAACTCGGCAGATTACAAAAATAGATATGTTTAATGATAAATAAAAAGGTAACAAAACAATAAGCTGACGTGGCAGCAAAACTTACATGGACTCAGGAAGCTCAGGGAGAAACTCACAAGACGCAGGAAACATGAAGACCCAAACGAATACGACCCGACAAAGGAACAACACAGAACAGGAGGCTTATATACAAGGACGAGACCAGACGTGATTACAACAGCAGGTGTGACGAGACAAAGGTGGCAACAATTAAACTGACGAGGAAACACAGACACAAACAGAAACAGCAAAAGGTGCCATCCTTACACTCCTAGCCTGAGGAGTTTCTTGAGGAAAACGCTCTCCGGTCAGGAGTATGAGGAGGTCATCAACACCCTGGCAGCACTCACAGAAACAGCAGGGACAGAGGAGAGAGCGAGAAGCCTTGAGAAGAAACAGGGTGAGTAAAACTAGCATCAACAGAGCACTCACAGCAATTCTAAAATGTAACAACATTTCTTCCTATAATTTATTTAGAGGCATTCATTCACACACACGTCTGTATAATCTAATAGGTAATGTCCAATATAGGTAATGTTCTATAAGAATCTCTTTTTTTTTTGTGTTTTTTCTCTCCAAAGGTCCACCCCGAGAGGCAGTTCCCAGTCCCACAGAGGTGCACGACTTCTTTTCCTTTTGTGTTGAAAAGCAGCAACAGGAGGGGGACAGTGGTGGTATTTCAGAGTCATGGGGCCGCCAGTTCGTGGTAGAGTACATGAGTGACTCTAAGTTGACAGGCTTCCAGTCTCTGCTCAACTTCTGGCATGAGAGGTCTGATGGGCTAGTGCCAGTTGCCAGGAGGCTGCTAGCAATCCCAGCAACAAGCACTCCTTCTGAGCGTAGTTTCAGTGTTGCTGGGAGACTGATTGAGGAGAGGCGTTCCACCCTCAATCCAGAAAATGTAGATGAACTTTTGTTCCTACATAGCAACTTATAACGGCAACTATTCATATGTGCTGAAGAGTGGGAAAGTAGACTGATATGCACGGTGGCTGACAGACACACAGCAAACAGTTAAAACGTGCTGCAAACACAGGAATGAATCAAATTCCAAAACAAAAAAACAAATGCAACAGAAACAAAAATCTGCAGTCACAGAAAATAGATGACACACAATCAAAAAAAAAATAAAAAATAAAAATGCAAAGGAAAAATGCTTCAAATACAAATAACACCAAAACAACTGCTGATCTGGTCAACAGAACCCTGCAAATACATTACAGCTGAGTGGCAACTGGCCCAAAGTTGGCTTATTTTATGAGTTTAATGTGCACTGAGTAGAGTACTTTTCAGCATTTTCCTTTGCATTCGTTTTTTGGGTTGTATGTTTTATTTTCTGTAATTGCAGGTTTTTTTCTTTCGCTGCATTTTTCTGTTGCATTTGTTTTGTTTTTGTTGTTGTTTTAGAGTTTGCATCATTTATGCGTTTGCAATGCTTTTTAACTGTTAGCTGTGTGTGCAGTAGCTGACTGTTTGCAGCATGTTAGCAGTTTGCACCTGCTGACCACTGTAGTATTACTGTGTGAGTAGTTGTTTGCAGCACATTTGCACCAGTCAACCACCATATATATATGGCAGTTGTATTTTTATTTAGTATTTGCATTATATGCACATTTTTTTTTCCTTTTTCAAAAACTCAGGTACAATATGAATGTAATGCCTTTATGCAGTTTTGTTCATTGATGACAGTTTGCTTGGTGCAATTTTTTTGTTTAGTTTTTTATTTAAGCAATTTAAACCATGACAGGAACGGTACTGTCTAAAGGGAAGGAAACAATTGCTCAATAAATTAGTAAAAAGCAACTTCTATTGGTTCTGTTTGGGTTCTTTCATCTAAGGTAGACATGGTGTGACCCATGTACTGGTTTTCATTTTTTTGTTTTTACTGTAACTGACCTTCAAAAAAGCCAGAAACAGGGACTCAGCAGCTGATCCTCTGTAGAAAAACTATAAGGACTACAGGCCATGTATTTGTTTTGTGACCTTTAGTGAAGGTTTTTGTTTGAATTAAGGCAATAAATGCCTCCATATTTCACCACAGATTAACTCTTCCTGCCATATCTTTTGAAATCAAACTGCAGAACACAAAGTAATTAAAAAAAGGAATGGTTAGAAAATCAATTCAAATTCAATGCATTTTTTAAAAATTAAATGAAGAGGAAAAAAAAACAGGAGCAGGACAGGAGTGGGAGTGATTCTGACCAGGAGCAGGACAGGACAGGATAAATTTTTTTACTCTGGACCAGGATTGGGACAGGACAGGATTTTTTCTGTTGGACCAGGACAGGACAGGAGTGAAAATCTACTCCTGTGTCATCCTCTAGTTCAGATCACCTCCTCCAGATGCCGTGGGGATCTCTATTCCTGCAATCCCAGCAGGTCTGCTTCAACTTCTTTCAGCGAGCGGTAGGGTTCTTCAGCAGGTGCACATTGGCTGAGATGAAACCACGTGGAGCCTTTTCCTTTCAGACGTAGTGCGTGTGAGGTACGGTCTTTGATCTCGTACAGCCCCGTCCACCTTGGTTCCGTCCATTTACGTTTCACCACTCTCAGCAGGACCCAGTTTGAAGTGAGACTCGCCGGCTCCTCCTCCTGAGGAGTACTGGAATCTGGAATCTGTTGAGCAAAACTGGACAACAAAGCTCTGAGCGTGTTGTAATACATCTTGGGTGACATGTTCATTACCTGTTCCGAGGGCCACTCGAGATTTTGCTGAGGCCCAGGGAAAAACCTTCCTGTTGTTAATTCATAAGGGGTGAAACCTGTACCCATATAAAGTAAAGTCAAGTCAAGTCAAGTTAATATATCTAAAAACATAGATCCACCACATTTTCATTGTTCTCCTGGGTCTAAAAAAGGTAAAAAAAAAGTCTACCAAAAGTCTACAAAGGTCTCAGAAAAGTCTTCTCAGAAAAAGGGGCGTCCCCCTAAGAGAACTGTCCTGTACACATAAAAGTGAGATTCTTTGGTTATCAAAATCTCTAATTTACACAAATGATGAAGCATCCTTCAATTTTCTCAAAAAGCATCCTTAATGTTTTGTTGTGAAGTTGATAAAATTTGTATATTAGCATCTCTTTTTAATTTTCTAGCAAGGCAAATCTACAAAATCTGTACATCACTATATTCCTCCCCCATTTCTCTGAAACAGTACACCAGTGTGCCCTGTTTCAGAAACATTGAAGTAAAGTTTTCCCGTTTTGGTTGTTGGTTAATAAGATTCCCGTTTTGTATTTGTCCAAACTACTGTTTATGTGTGAACCGAATCATCCCCTGTACATGATAATTTATTTATGTATTTATTTTCCAAATTAGCGCTCTATAGGAAATGTGAGATCAACCACAGTTCAGATTTTCCAGCTCATATTGAAGATCAACATTTGTTACCCAAAAAGAATACAAACAACACTTTTTCATTCTTGTCACTGAGTCCTTAGACTAATCTGTAAAGACAAAGTGAACCCAATGGAAAAGCCAATAATTTGTTCAGGGGTAACCTTATTCATTTTTGATATAAAATTGTAAAATTATAAATCTCTTCTTTTTGTCTAAAAGCCATTGAACTAGGCAGGTGTCCCAAGTGACCACAATACTACTTTTCAAAATCAAAATTTTGCTGTAATGTTTGAAAAGTGTGTCTATGTGGGTGCATTTATGTCAGAGCAGCATGCAGCATCTATCCTGGATCCGGAGTGAATGCACCACCGTACACCACATGCACAAGTCGACACTCAAATCCAGACGTATAGTGACAGCCCGCTTCAGGTTCTCTCCAGTGTGACTTTGGAGATACTGCAAGTTCAGAGTTCAAGAGTTCATCATGATGTTAGTCCAGCTCCCCTCTCCTGGACAAAATTGCAGGTCCACAGCCATCAGCATTTTGTTTCAGTTCAAGTCCATGTGCTCCAAACTTGGATTTTTTTGTTGTTGTTTGGTAGCAGAACAGGATGTGGTCTCATGAAGTCACAAGTTCTTGTCAGCCTAGTTTTTCATCGACCCTACACATGTGATACACTACTGGGCATTTCAGAACCAGTCCAAGACGTCAAACTGAACTTGCATGTGGGTTTTCAGCAACCTATATGAACAATCGTGCATTATGTGTCATCAGAACATCCCTCCTGGTTCAAGAACTCACTCAATTCAACTTTTTCTTAATTTAAGATTAGCTTAAAAATAAAGTAATCCAATTAAATCCTGATATTATTCTTAATTTATTTATTTATAGCTCTAAACCAAACAAAAAGTTGTCTCAGGGCACTTAACAGAAACAGTCTTAAATAGCAAAATCAATTACCCAAATAACAAATCCAATTGTAGTTCTCCATCTCAAGTTACACATAGACAAATAAAGCTCAGATTGAGCTCTCCGATAGCCATTTCCATCTCTTGAAAATCCATCTGCCTCTACCTCCAGCGGTGTCATAACTGCACTCTGACCAACACAAGGGTCTCAAACAGCACCTCAAAGTGAAAGCCAAAAAACACCATTAACACTAAACTCAGACTCTAAGGCAGAACTTCCTACACCACACATGTCAAACTCAAAGGTCATGAGAGCTTAAACGGTCTGAATTGTCCTACAGTAAATGAAACGAGAACACAATCTATTAGTGTATTATCCATATTTAATGCCTTAACAGTGCTAAGTCTGCTAAAATGAGCCATCAACTCCTAATGTGGCTATCTCGGATTTAATTATATTATATTAAATTTGCACCTAATTTATAGATTTAATAAGCCGTTAATAGTTAATTTTTACACACCCAATTTGAACAAATGCTCCTTTTGTGGGTCGTTCAAAATTCCATTCAACTGCTGTTATGAATCTCTTAGGGTCTTTTAAGTTTTTTTTTTTTTTTTCAAATCAAATCTTTAAATTAAAAGTCAAGTCTTAGCCAAGCAGTAATTTGCCCTTGACAGACGTCTGTTTAAACCCAAATGTTAACTTTTGGCCTGCAGTGATCATGCCGGGACGTTAGTTGGCGCTGTGGTCCTGTATCTCGGGTTACGCATGCGCACTACCGCGAGTTGCACTTCCTGTGTAGCTAACGTTTAGCTAACCAGTCGGTGAAGGTGATGACAAGGTCGGATGCAGTTTGTTGGTTTTATGGAGAGAAAGTGACGGTTTGTGACGGCGAAACGGACCGTTTACCCACTCAAATTCAACTCGGTCGACTGGTGGACCCGAAAACAAACCGTAAATGTTGGACTTTAACAACTTTGTTGCGGATTTATCGCAGGTACAGTAGTACTCGGCCTTTACTTTTAAGCAATACTCAATTTGAATTTATTAACGCATATATATTTTCTTCTTCTCCTGTTTTATATTTCGTGACACACATTTGGTGTGTCGGTTCTGGTCGAGTCGGAGTGGCGGATGGATGGGGCGGCTGTGAACCAACGGGGCCGAATCCGGTTCCAGCAAATCTTCGCCTCAATGAGTGTGTTCTAATGTAATTATCAGTGTCTGTGTGGTTAGTGTTGTTTAATAAAACCAGAAAAAGATAAAGGTGAATCCGTTTCAGTTATTTTTTTTTAAGTGTGGTTTGGTTTCAAAGGTCAGAGATATTCTCTTGACATGAAGTGAATTTAAACAGTTTAAAGGGACATTTCAGAATTTTTTATAAATTAATTCAGTCAGTTAAAGGGAATTTCAGATATTTTCTAAGTTGGGTTTTGGTACAAGATTATAAAAAGTAGCTATCTTACCCGATGTAGATGGCTTATAAAACCAATGTCAATTTCTATTTTTCAACATCATGCAGTATTTTTTTTTATTTTTTTTTTAATCTAAATTCAGATAACTTGTTTTTTAGAGTGTCATACTTCTTAAAACTTTAGTGCCACATGACGTTCGCGAGCGTGTGTGTTAGAGCGTGTGTGGTTATCACACAGGAAGGAGTTCATGCTTGTGTTTGGTCTCCCAGACTGAGAGCCAGCAACACCACAGATAACAGAAAAAGTCAGCCATACGCTTGAAGGACATTATAGAATAAAAAAAAACCAATAGTGTTCAGTTATCTGTAAACTTATACTACTCAATAAGCTTTACAGACGAAGTAGACAAGGTATTTTA